TTTTCTTAATATTCTTTAAGAAAAGAAAACGTTTTAGTTTTTCATAAGCAATTGTTTATTCTATTTAAATAAAAAAATTTAGATTTAAGTAAATATGTTATTAATATCTATCAAATATTTACTATTTTTTAAATTTTTTTCTATAAGTACACAAATACACATATTGTAAAACTCTATCGGAAAAATAATTCGACTCTATGTAATGCAAATTATGTTATGCAAATTAATTTTTTTTTTCATTTTATATTCTTGATTGAAGTACTGACCTTACCAGAATTCAGAATGTATTTTGTAAAATTTAATGAATTTACAATAGAGATTTGATATATAATCTTCGGAAATAGATAACACTTGAAACAAATAACATTTATTTGAACGTAATACGTATTTTTCTGTGTATGTAAAAGATGTATCTGTTTGAAATTGTATTTATTTGCCGTGTCTCGGGTAATTCAATCGTCAGTTGAGCTTTTGAACAAACAGTGGAAGTCAGCGCGATAAGTAACGTGTAAGAAGCAAACAAAAGAACTCGCGATCTTCTCGACTCAAATAGTATTCTAAACGTCAAACCCGTCAAGATGGATCTTATGTCCGAGTCGTCTACAAATATCTTCCTGCTGACGTATTTTTCTCAGCTCCGATTGTAATCTAGGTCACGCAGTTTTACACTGACTTACTTCAACGTGCTCCAGTCTACTTCGCTTTACTTCATCCCGATACAATCTACGATATTTTTGATGATCCTCGCGTTGTTGACGCCCGATTCGCGCGATACGCAGCAGCGGATCTCGTGACCCGTTGTTTTAGGACCGTGGTGAATTCGCGTGACCGACATCGCCGAATAACGACACAAAAGTAGAATATCCGGATGCGCGGTAGAGATGTCGGCTGGCCTTCATCCAGGTGAAGATTCACTTGGCCATGGACCTGGCACTGAATACACAATCACGGGTTTACGTCTATTTTCGATCGTCCTTACCGCAAGGACAGTGTTTGGGCTTATCGCTTTCTGCTGCTTCCTCGCGAAAATCTAATTTTTAGAAGAGAAAAAGAATCTGACAGAAGAAAATCTGACAGAGTCAGATAACGGACTGAAATATAGGGACTCGGTGTGACGATATTCGATTCATGAGGAACTCGGGAATGAACTCGTGTTGAATATTCCGTGACTTATGTCAGCGTTGTTGCACGACTGAGAATGCATATTCATCGGCCGCGAATGTTTCTTTCAAAACACTCAATTTATTTCAGATTGGGGAGAGGGATGGTTACGCTCGTTTCCGGGGCTTATATCTCGTTGCGAATGAACTTCTCTCCTCACATGTGTCTCCTTTCAGTCGAGTTTCGTTTGTACGTGATACACTTTCTCGGAATACAGAGATTTCGAGTATGTGATCTCTGGCGTATCTCACGCGATAGCCTTGAGCTTTCGTTGATTCAGCGCGTCTCTCCGAAATAAGATCAAAGCGCAGGAGACGCGAAGTTAGTTTCACCGAGCCAACGCGTACACGAGCGGCAATGAAGACATTATGCAATGGGCACATTCACGAGAAAATCCTCATTTTCGAGAGGGCCCTTTGATCTTGCCTAACTCGCGCGTTTGTTTTCAACGTGAGCCACGTGTATTATTGCACCATAATTGCATCACGCCAAATACGAACAATCGTGCGATGCTATCGAGAGCTACGTCAAAGGTACGAATTGTTGAAGTTGTTTCCTTCTGCATTTATGTTAAATATGTTATATATGATATAAAATAATGCATATAAGATAGATTGTAAAATGAAATATTTTAGCTAATATAAAAATGGAATGTTTTAGCTAATATAATTACTTTTAATTGGGACAAATAATTTTTTTCAGGCCAAAAGAGCAATAATATTCGTTAATTTATTTAAAAAAAAACTATTAAGTGAATATGTTTGAAAATATCATATGTGCACGCAAAAAAAATTTCAGTTGGTGCAACCAAATAGAAACAAACTGCAAATTAGGTGACCAGAAACGATATCTCTGTTATGAAAAGTAATATTTCTGTTGTCGCAACCGTAAATATTCGTCTGAAGATTCAATGATATTAGAACTCGGTTGAGGCAACTGAGAACAATTGACTATACAGGAGCCTCATAAAAGAATTTTTCTGTTCCTACAGCCGAGTTTTCGTTTGATCTCTGAGCAACCGAAAATTTGGTTGCACCAACAGAATTATTTTTTCCATGCAATTAAATAATATACTTGTTTAAAAATTTTTTTAAATTATTTTGTACGCGCGGAAATGACGTCACAGTATCCATTGTTTGCAGCTCTTCACAAAAAAATTTTGATTTTTTTAAAAGTGGGCCAAAAAATTTCATTGTTTGAAAGTAAACTAGATATTCATTGAGTGATTTTCCTTAAATAAATTTTTGAACATTGTTGCTTCTTTAGCTTGAAAAAGTAATTTGCCTAATAATTTATTGTTTATTTATAAATCAAAAGTTGTTTGATGAAGTAAATTTAAAAGGAATTAATCTCGTTTAATCCGACGGATAATCTGATAAAATGTTAAGATTCTCGAGTACCCGGAAATTCAACTCGAGATTCCGAGACATTCCAATGTTTAATCATGGATCAAAGTTCGCGATGCCTGTCACGTCATTGGAAATTTGTCGTGTCATTATTGTGTTTCATTGTTAGCGTACCTTGGCAGAAACAAATATGAACAGAACACTTGTGGACGCGTTTTTACCGTCTACAATTTCCCGCACTTGCATTGTCGCACGAGCGAGCCTATTATGCCAACAAAGTGCTCAACGGGATTGCATATACCGGCGATGTCTACCGCAATGTGTAAACATGTTTTCTCTTTTACAAACTCGTGAGCTTTTCACTGATGTCATCGAATGAACAAGGTCCGCGTGAATGTATGCTACGAGTGTCATCGGGACGAGAATGACGAGCTTTCAGCGAGCTCAAAGCAGATTGATGCAATGAATTGCGTGCGATGATTACGCAGACCTTGATATTCATCATCCCGATTATTTGCTTCTCGCGTGGACTCTCTCTCTCTCTCTCTCTCTCTCTCTCTCTCTCTCTCTCTCTATCCTGTGTAATTTTAAGGACTAACGGGAGAACATGTAAGTCGTTGTTTACTCGTTTCTCCAATCGTACAATGCATTTGCAATTGTTATGACTACGTACGCTTAAGTTCGTAAATTAATTCAGGTGCTAGTTTCAGTCTGTTATGAAGGTAACTTTATTATGCAAGATTTTCCGCTTTTAATCTTATAGCATCAGACTGTTTTATACTTGAGTTTTTTATATGATTCATGCATGATTTTGCATTTCGTGGGAGGTACGCGTGAGGATGTTATCAACCGCATATGACAAATGCATTGAGCACGATGAGCGCAACATTTTCTCCGGTAACTGAATAAATTATTTTTGCTTTAATCGTTGACGTATAAATGACGTTGCGTCTCCGGTCGTGGTGTAATAGTTCATAGCCCTGATATTTGCCTTCGAGTGCGTAGATTCGTTGACGTCATGCATGTAGATACATGTAAAGTTATTTAAATTAGCCATTATATATATATATGAGTTCGAGCAAAATATTCATGCGAAGTAGATGCTTTCAAACGGTTTCATTATGATATTATCGCGTCTTATCCGCTTTTCAAACGTTACTTCGCATTCCTTTGTGGCGAAGCTGGCAATGATTAGTGTAAACAAAATTAATGACGTGACTACATAACACGTCTATATAAATTTTCATATTTCTTAGTCCATGGAATATGTCTCTAGGAAGATTTACTAGCCGTAACCTGCTCGCTACGCGGCTTATTACAAGATTTCAGTTCGTGTAACTGAAATTTGCTAACGAGAAATAATATTTTTGTTATTATAATCAAAAACATCCATCTGATAATTCAGTTGCATTAAAATTATCTCGCCTGGAGATAACTAGGAATTGACTACGTAGAAATCTCCAGGAATCTTTCCTATAACCAAGTTTTCCTCTTAAATACAGTTACACTAACGGAATCGCGTTTTTTCCATACAGAATATTTATGTCGCGCTGAAAATATTCGCATTTACATTATAAAAAATATAATGCGCATTAAATAAACTGTTTTGCAAAGTGTTTATATGTCACGGCAAGATATTCGAGCAGCTGATCAGTGAGATAACAAACAATCTGTTTGTTCGAGCTCTTGCGCAGCTAGTGCGCTTACGTAGCAAAATCACGAGTCTATGAGCGAACTTTGCGCGGAAAACAAAACACAAACAATAATACTGTAACGAACAAATCTGTAATGATCCGGTCGGAAGACTCGTTTTCGATAACGCGCGACGGTGATCGTCATTAAACACGATCGTACTATTTTTTTTCGTATTTCTTGTACATATATATATCTTATATAAATAAGATGTGCTGCTTTGTTTTACTAGCAGGAAACGTAACCACGCATACATAGGAATTTTTCTGCAAACTTTCCGTGTATTTTTAGGCTTCCAAATTCAGTTGTAAAGATATAGAAATGTTTCTTGAAATTTTCGTTAGCCAAGCAAACACGCGTTACAGACTGCAGAACTTTGGTATCAAGTAAATATTTATGCCAACTGATAGAGAGCTTGAGATTATTCCTTACACGTACTTTCAGTGTGTAAAAGCACTTGCAATTTTGTGCAACCAATATGCGATGTAAACTTTGTAGAAAAAAATCAATATTTCATCGGTAAAATTGTTGAGTATCTATATAGTATCTTCTAACCGACGTACTGTCTTGGAGGAAAACAAAGTACAAACAAAACTGATCGTTTGAACTGCGATCAAATTACAACTTTTATTTCTGCTTATCGATGACGCATGTTTTCCGAGTCCTTAGAACACGGTATCTTATGACGATAGTTGTTCAAGTTCGCTTCATACAGTGGATAACTGTCGGAAATATCAAGTCAAGTTGGAAACAGCGACTTTCCATACACAGTGGCCGCGTTATTATTGCTTGTGTACTTACCGCGAGCGAAAAGTGCGCGGGAAACGTCGAATACGTGGATGTGGGCGCGTGTGTACTATTAGACGTCGGTGACGAGTTCGGCGATCTCGTTTGAGAATGCGGGAAACTTCTCCGACAACGACTCCGTCGGCTCCTCTGGCTGCTCGTTCTCGAGGAAGACGCGGACGAGCGTACACATGCGTTGCGTTCGAGCAGTTGCGCTTGACTGAAGAAACGGCTTCGTTCTCGCGAGAGCCAATCGCGCGAATCGCTAGAGCGAGTACGCACGTGCACACAGCGTGTGTGCGTATGCGTGTATGTGACTGGCGTGCGTGTGTTGGGTTGTGAAAGACGTGTGCGACACGTCCGGCGTGTAGGAGCGACTGAAACAAACTGAAGCCGCAGCCGAGCGCGGTCCGGTGTTTATCGTCGTGACGGAAACGGTCTCGGAATGTGTGTTAGTCGTATACACGGTGTTCAGGAAGAAAGTGTTGTTAGAGTATTCTTTTTTATCGACGCGATCGGCTGGAATGCAGTTGACGCTTCGTTGCATCGTGCTTCTACCTACGTTCGGAGAAAAGTACATGGCGGTAGTAATTATATAAATTGCAACTATACATTGAGAGAAAAAAATCTAAAAAGTAAAATATTTGGTGGATAATGGATAACATAACGGTTTGAATCTAAATATTTTTTATTTAAATAGAATAAATAATTACTTTGAGAAAATGAAGTTTTAAAAAAATGAAAATTCTTTTATTTAAAAAATATTTTATAGTTTCTTAATTCTCTGTGTATAATAATCATTTAGCTTTAGTTGCAATAATTGTAGAATAGTTTATTAAATTGTTCATATTGATTCTACATATACAATTCGTGTAGTTGTCATCTGTGTGGTTGTCATTGTTATACGCTTTGGAAATATCATAAATTACAATACAATATATTTGGAGCACGTATTGGTTAGCAGACTTAATTTGTGTCATGTTCACACAATGCTTAATTATTTTATGCTATGTTTATCGCACACACACACATCAATCATGCTATCGTTCCCCTGAAACATTTTTGAAATATGCGAGAGCAAATTACTTGTGTATCTCATGAATAAGCCGGAATCTCCAGAATATTGAGATTATATATATTTCTTACGAAGTTCGTGTTTACTGCAGAACTGACCACCAATCATCAATCATCGGTTGACTCACCTCGCGAAATGTCCGTTTAATCGATAACGGTAAACAAAAATAGGTTTGTTTACTTATTTTTATCATCAGCACGAACTCATAATGATTTTTTCGGCAGCTGGTTTGTTTAAAAAAATTCAAGTTTTTAATTAGTAATATTAATTAAATTAATTAGTAATATTTTTCGTATAATTCTTACGTTATTAATCGTTCGCTATCAACTTTTTTCCTTAACAGGAGAAAATATAAAATATTTTTCGACTGGTCCCCGCGATTTTTTACTGTTTAAATTAAATAATTTTTTATAATTAAAGTCGGGCGCACAATTGTGTCACCCAGTACACACGTGTACGCGATCGTTGGTGAGTGGCGTGTGCAAGGTGGAGAAACGCGTGATGTGTTTTCGTAGTAAGACGCACACTGATTGGTCGTCGCCGGTCAGACCAGCGACCGAGCCTCTTTTGCCACGATGCAGGAAAGGAAAAAAAACAAAATGATCTCGAATCGGTTGGCCTAGATCCTTGATGGTACCGAGGAGGCATCGTGCGATCAAGCCGACGTCAGCGGCTTGAAAACACTTTCGGCCGGCTCACGTTATCGGCAATTAGCCAACTACTGCGCGTCAACAGACAGATAAATAGATGGTCACCATTGTCAGGTGTTGTCATGATATACCCCGTTAAGCGATAAACATTTATAAAATGCTGCGCACACCATGCGCCGGTGCGTCGTAGAGAAACGTCCTGGGGGGATCACCACAATTACAAAACATGTTTACACGAGATTTTTCTTTGAAAGAGCTGTCGGAATTGTTGATATAAGATAATTTTGTATCTTGATATACGCGATATTTAATCTATCCGAATTTTTCTCTTTTCTTATTTTCTTTCATCATCTCTTTCTCACGTCATATTACTCTCTAAATAATCAATATTTTTCACTGAAACAATTATAGACTTATAACTGGTAATTTATTTAGAATTATTAATGTAATATAATATATGTGTGATATAATGAGTGAAATCTCGTTGAAAGTATCAGTTAATAGTAGAGACTATATTCCTATTAACGTATTTTGCAAACATGTGCTGAGAGAAAAGATATCTGAAGAATAAAAGATACTTATTCGGTGGCTGCTAATAACATGTTTACTTAAGTCGAAATTTATTTTCAAAAAGCAATGGTTTTAAGAAGATATTTTCCCATTTGAAAGAAGTTTTTTCTCAGTCTAAAAATACATATATTGATACGAGTAAATATATACGTTATTAGTATCCATCGAATAAATATTTCTTATTATTTAAATATTTTTTCTCAGTGCGTGTTACGTGTCATAATTTGGACGTCAGTCCTTCATAAATCTCTCAGATATCTCGTACAGTAAAGAGACAATAGCGTTACTTTGTATACTTGCGATACGCCAGCGTTCTTTTGTTCTCTTCGGTCGTACTACGTCGTTATGCCAACTCCAGTTGATGGACAAGATACTTAATAACATGTCGAATCAGCCATCGAAAATCAGCGATATGGATCAGCGTGAAACCGCGATAACGCGTATTGTAACGTGTAGATATGCAAAACTATCGTATTAACGGACTTAATCGCAGATCTGAATCAGTTTATCGTAGACGATCAGCCTGAAAATAATTAATACTTCTTATTTTCGAGTTGTAAACACATTGAAGTATTTTTAATTGGCCAATTGGCTCGTCATTTTCTTCTCATATTTTTCTTCGTCGAGACGAATTTTAACTCTTCTTCAAGAATTATTTTGTTAGTCAGTCCATTCTTCATTGCGTCACCAGTCTGGCATAAGAATATCAGCGAAAGTAAGGTAGTTAATGTTTCAAATAGTGCTGTCGACTGTCGAGTGCTGAGAACACACATCTAACGACACGATATAAAAAAAAAACCTTAAACTATTACGAAATAAGAAGGTACGCGTGTTTTCGCAGCAAAGTTGCATCGCACATATGTTATATAATGGTGACGTGAAAGTTGAAAGATCGTAAAATTTTGCATATATGCTTGATGATGATCGCATCTTACACACACGAGTTTTAACATTTTCTACATAAAGCCACTCACATAAAAATACTCTTTCGTAATATTTTATTATCATTGTCTTAGGTCATAAGATATTTATTTTAAGGATAATTGATAGTGAAGGATGTATTCATAACAGCATCCATTAGAATTAGTATTCGACCTAGAGAAGTGCTTTAATTGTATTGCGCGGAAAAAAAATTTTGTTTTTCGTAAAATAAATAACTTTTGATCTAAAAAAGCGATAAGACATTTTTAAAAGAATTAACGATGCAAATAATTTTTGTGGAATATACTTTCATATCAATTTCTTTTTTTTTTTTTGACTGAACTTGTTGGTTTATGCGATTCGTACGATTTTACTCGCAATTTTACTTGTCATGATTTCACGATGGTGCTAATTATTCAAGAAAATATGGTGCGTCGTATCTTAATTTATCGAACAGGACTTTAAAGAGTTAAGGGTCAACATTATACTTTTTATCGGCATTCACGTGACGCACAACGTCAAACAAAGAGATCGCATATTATCTGCGACGTTTGCAGTCACAACAAGACGCGTATCGTTTGCGTACAATAACAAAACTAAACGTAGACACTTGACTGTTCTTGTTATCGGCATAACTTGTACTGCGTAGTGCAAAATACGTAACATGAGATATCTGTTTTCTTCTCCCGTCCAATTCGCAGAAACTTAACCATCAATCTGTGAGTTTCTGCTCGAAACTTGTGAATGTTAATATTGAGACTCTCGTGAATTAAGTAGCCCGAGTACGAAATCGTCGAATTTGCAGTACTTACACACTGAAGGAAAAAAGAATAAAAAAAGAAGAGAATCGATCATGCTTGACTTGTTGAATGATTGCGAAGAACTTCAGTACTGTATATATTTTTTAAATCATGTATCATTGGATACATTGATGAATATTGATTCATCTTCATTTTTCTCGAAAAATTACGTGTACTTCGTATGGGTCGGATCATTCTTGTGTAACTACGGCCAATTCTGGATACCTCCAATCGAAATTCTGATTCGTTCATATTTCACCAGAAAGTCGGTTGACATCGAATAAGTGTCTAGTATTTCTTAGATATCTTTTCTCTCGTTGTACAACGTATCTGAAGAAGCAGTCGTGAGCGTGTCGGAGCACAAGCGAGTTAATTAAAAACCCGTCGCCACAATTGGTCGCGCAACCAAGGCGAACTTTATTGCGGAACTTCGTCGAAGGCCGGTCGCGCGCAGTATCAGAAAGTTATTTATCAAGCGCCGTTTCTCGTTACGGCGAAGGTGGCACATTCGGCGGGAACGCTCGTTCGCGGTCATGACACTTCGGTATTGACGCGCGATGCTACCATGGCTGTCGATATTTTTACCCTTCCTGCGCGCACAAATATCGCGTCACCAGGAGAGCGCGGGAACGCGTCGGCGACGCGGTATCGCGGTTTCCTCTGTCCGCGATATTCCTTTTCTCGCGACGCTGCAGATGGTCCGCGCGTTACGTCACTCGCGGGTGCCGTTCGCGAGGTCGATGACCTTGCACGAGTGCGATACCGCAGCAACCGCACCATGTGTATCCACACGCTTTTGTGCGATTGCGAACCGCGGCCACGGCGACTGACCGGAGCGGCAGTTCGGTTGCCTGCGAGGGCAAAAATGGAGTAAAACAAATGTGCGCCAGCCAGTTTCTCTTCAACGAGCACGGCTGTGCCGTTCGACCGCGGAAGGAGAAAGCAACGACACGAGGCCAAATTATACGCGCGTGTCTACGTTCTTCTCCGTGTCGTGGGTTCCTGCGACTTTGTTGTAGCAATCGAGCTTCTCGGCTGTTTGTGCGCTGTATACTTTTCCTTGGAGATTTCTTTTCTCGCGTGTTGCCTCAATCATTATTTCCTGAAGACTCCTTTAAAGTGTGTCACCACGAAAAATGATTCCTTTCGCGTCGGTTGTCTAGCTCAAGTTTAAAAGCGAGGTTTGTCTCATATGAATGCAGGAACAGCTTATTTTCCTTTCAAAGACACGAATTAAAATAATTTATGTTTGTTAAATAGAATTTATGTTTGTTAAATGGATTAAAATAATTATATTTGTTAAATGGAAGATTAAAAATGCTAAATTAACCCCTTAAGTGGTATGCCCGGAAAACTATCGTGATGAAATATTAAATTTCCTTTG